TAGAAATATTTTATATTGAATTTTTTACTATTTATAATTTTAGACTTTTTATTTACATTTTGAATTAAAAAAAAAAAGTACATAGAAAATGCATGCGGGTCATCTTTGACCCACTTGTGGAAGCTTGATGTAGTAATACAAAAACTACAATTTCTTAAAATGTCAATTTAAAATGTGAATGGAATGATATCCAAAACATGTTTTTTGAGGAATAGCTGGAATATGCAATTATACAAACATGTAATTACAAAGATACTTCAAGTAAACCACCTCACCGGGTCCAAAAAGACCCACTTATGCATCTAAGGGTTAAGAAATGTGTCTCTAAGCAACTATTTTACTCTGTTTACAAGGAGAAAACACAAAACACTTCTACAGTCTGAAGGAAACTTTTTGTGTTAGCCAAATTAAATTCACTCTGACTAAAAAATAAACTGAGGAAATGTTTTCTTTATTACAGATGGCAGTAGCAGAGCAGATTTAAACCAGTGCAGAAGGAAAAGCCACATTTTCTTCAATACATAAAGAATATTTGCTTATTATTATTTGATACCAGTCTCTTTTAAACATTTAAAGACCAGAAGTGGTGTCAGTTTTGGTATGGTGGTGCATGCTTGTTGAATAAAAGTCCAAATACTGCATAAGGTTCTCCCTGAACCTCTTTCAAATGCTGTTAGCGTAACGTCTGTATTTAGATTATGGCTTCAGTGGCCAATGTTACGAGTGGAAGAATCAATATTCCAATATGAGTTGCCAAATTGAGAAAAGCAGTGGTAATGCAGGATGGGCCTTTATGAATATAGGGGTACATATTTCCCTCTCTTGAAACTCCCTCGCCTCTCCACTTTCTGCCAAATGGATTGTCATTGCCTGCGACTCTTTTCGAATGGCTGTGTCGATCCTTCAAGGGGATACTGTGACTTCCTGAGATTCAGCTCTTTTTTTTTCATCAGTAGACACTGTGAGGAAAAAATGCAAACCTTTTAAAGCCTATAAGTCATTTCTGTGACAAGTAAAACTGTCTTGATTTGGCGAATAATAACCTCAAATGAGATGTTAAAGTATCCTTTTAATAATAACCAATTATATTGTCTTGATTCTTCCTCCTCTTGTCCTGCTCCCTCTGCGCCCTGTCATAGAAATAAAGACTTTAGACACAGGTAGGTGTTTCATCTTAGTGCATGCTGCTTTAGTATTCTTCAAACATCACCATCTGTATCATCCTCTTTATAAGAACATGGATAACTCTCTCTTTTACAGTCGCCTTTAGCACCAGTGATTACCATGTGTAATTATAACAAAGCAATTAAGCTTGATTACATCTAAACAGGAAGAGCGTGGCGTTGGGAATTGTGCGATATGACTAAATTGCACACATTGCAGCCCTTTACATATTTAAAGTATTTATAGGTATAAATATGACCAACATAGTTTATATACAATCAACAGCTTGTCTGATGCAATCCAATAGAATATCTCTGCAATAAACAGTAGCATTGTGGAACACTTAATTATATTAACTGTGATTATGTTTGGCAGATGCTCTTATCCAGAGGGGCTTACACAACTGCTTTGTATTCATGGTTAAGAAAACAGCCTCAGATCAAGTGAACATGCACATTGGTGGCAATTAGGTTGTCCCGGTGATTAACATGAGCGCGGGGCCAGAGGTGCACGCAGGGAACTGGAGTCACTCTGCCTGGCTGGCTGCCATGGCAGGTAGTATCTGATGTGACAGCGCTGTATGTCTTATGAACATGTGACTTTGTTATGAATTTAAAATCAAAACTCAAATGCCTGCAGCAGTTTTCAATCTGCTCTGATCAGATGCAGTCGAGTTTTGATCAATGCCGCGCTGTGTAGTCTTTGTAATGTCTACATGACCACCAGAGAAGATGAATACATCTATGATTGCATCACAGTACAACATGACTCATCAGTGACCAGAATAACTTGTTTTTCGCTTTGCTCCAGCCTCCATTCATTTGCATAACTCTGATAATGTAGGACAGATGAACACAATTTCCCAGGTCATGACTAAAATCCCAAAGTTCCCTCTCTCACAAAACCAACCCGAAAAATGTTCCTCTGAGGCAACCAATCGCTACCATTAGGTAGACCCTCCAGAAAAACGCGGGCAAAAATCCTTGATTATGCGATTAAACATGCGGGGTTTTATGTGATTTTATGCGGTGAAATTGCGGGAAGTTAGGAAATATGCAGAAAGTTGCGAAATATGCTAAATATGCGGGGGAAAAGAATAACAATTTTTTAAAATATTGGGCTGTCTTATTTATTCTCTCTCACACACAACCTGCCACTAACGTTAAACCCCTTTACTATTCAATTAAACACATTCAATGTTTATTTATTGTAAAAGCAATTGGGCTATTTTAATCTCACACACACACACACCCCCCCACACACACACACACACACACACACACACACACACACACAGACACACACACACACACACACACGCACACACACACACACACACTAC